CTGGCCTAGAAAATCATGGTGGGGGCAGCTCCACAGTCCCCGGCCCCGGCTCCTGCCAGCACAGCACCGTGCTTCCGCCATCTCTGCCTGATCCTTGTGGAACTCTCCAGACACAGTCCCCGAGGCCCTCACTAACAAGGCCCTGGGTGGGAATGCTTTTTGTTCCTGAGGATTCATTAAGAATTTGAGGCCAATATCCTTAGCAAACTAACACAGGAACGGAAAACCAAATACCGCATATTCTCACGTGTAAGTGGGAGCTAAATGATGAGAACATGTGGACACATAGAGGGGAACAGCACACACTGGGGCCTACTGGAAGGTGGAGGATGGGAGGAGGGAGAGGATCAGGGAAGATAAGTAATGGGTACCAGGCTTCATACCTCGGTGATGAAATAATCTGTACAACAAACCCCCATGACACAAGTTTACCTATATAACAAATGTGCACATGTACCTCTGAACTTAAAAGTTAAGGCCGGGCACGGGGGCTCATGCCTATAATCCCAGCAGTTTGGGAAGCCAAGACAGGCAGGTCACCTGAGGTTGGGAGTTCAAGACCACCCTGATCAACATGGAGAAACCCTGTCTCTACTAAAAATACAAAATTAGCCGGGCATGGGGGCGAATCCCGGTAATCCCAGCTACTCAGGAGGCTGAGGCAGGAGAATCGCTTAAACCCAAAAGGCAGAGGTTGCAGGAGCCCAGATTGCACCAGCCTGGGTGACAGAGCGAAACCCCGTCTAAAAGAAAAAAAAAAGTTAAAAAAAAAGAAGTGAAGTTGCAAAGGGCTTTTTCCATTTTTTCCTCCTTTCTTTGGTTTCTTCCCATCCCCAGATCCAAGGCAAGTTTCATCCTCATCTTCGGGCTTAGGAATTGGCCCGTGTCTGCCCCCAGGTCCTGTTTGGACCTGGCATCTGGGAGACAAAAAGCCCTCAATACGGAGACCCACGTTCAGTGCTGGCCCCACCTCTAGCTCCCTGGTAACCCTGGGAAAGCAGACAGCTCCTCTATATCCCATCTGTTAAATGGAGTGTTATCATTTCCTTCCTGGTGATTCCTGTAGATTAATGGGGGGATGGAGATGATCACATGGGAGAAATTCTCAATAAGCACACAGCAGTGAAGCCACTGCTTCAGCCCTGCAGTGCTTATTACGGCGTGTATTATTTTCCCATCTTTGCCTCTCCCCACATGCCCCTCCCCTTTCTTGGGACTCATTTTGAGATCCCCAAAGGATAATACTGTGGTAAAAGAGTCCCATGGCAGAGACGGTCTCAGCCTGTCTTTATCTCATTTCCTTTATAGATGGCTCCTTACTTGCCTTTGGAGGCACTGACTGAGTTTGTGTGGCCTCTTATCCCCTCTGCATTCCTTTCCAAAAAAACCTGGCTGGTCTCTGTGCCGTAACAAGGTGAGTTCTGTCATAGCCCCCCCTCTGATCCCTGGTAACCGGGAAGGGACTTTAGCCATCACTCAGTGGGCCAAACCTCCTGGCTTTACACGTGCGGTCGGCAAACTCTCAAAAGCTGAAAGAAGAGACGTGCCCTGGATGACATATCGAGAGAGTGGAAGAGCTGATACTATAACCCAGGAGGCGAGGCTCCTTTGCCAGGGACCTTTGCAATCCCCTCTTTTTTAGATGAAGTTTGTTTCCGATTTTGTTTTCTCCATCTCGCTCTGTCTCCCAGGCTGGAGTGCAGTGGCACAATCTCAGCTCATGGCAACCTCTGCCTCCCGGGTTCAAGAGATTCTTCTGCCTCAGCCTCCCGAGTAGCTGAGACTACAGGCTGTTTTCAGATTCTATTAAGGATGAGTAGAAGGAGATTCAGTGTTCAACTTCTTCACCCAGAACCCAATCCTTACAGGACAGCCTGATCAGAACCTCCAGATCAGCCCTGGTGCATGAAAAACGCATTAGAGCTTTGGAGCAGGGAGGGAGCACAGCATAGTGAAGGAGGTCTGGGACTCACACAGGCCCCGAGAGCGGTCATCTAGAAGGGCCTCCTCAGCAGTGACCACTCTTGTGATCCCATCAGCCACAGACATCCTGGATGGTGGACAACCCAGGATTTGGGAGATCTTCCATAAGCTTTGTTCCTTGCTGATTGAGGTCTAGACAGTAGCTGCTAGGGAGCATACCATTCTGTACACGACTTGCATGTTTTTAAAAAATATTTGTGAAGTTTATATAAAAAGATGTATGTCAGTGTGTGGATTGCTGCAAGAACTGCACACCCCATTTAGACAAAAAGAGGAATCATTCCTACAGCAGTAACCTTGTACCTTTCACTCAACTTTTTACCTCTTTCAAATCACATCAATCCTTCAAAGTCTAGCACAAATTCCAACTTGTCCAGAAACCCTTTCCTCATCACTGCTGGCCACACGATGGCAATAGCAATGGCATCAGAAACCCTATTTGTTAACCAGAGTAATCATGCATTTATTTATAAAACAGTGCATATGTAAAAGGATTTATGCCTAATGTTCCTAAAGGTGAATCAGACATGAATCTCGTTCTTCAATTGGACTGGGGGACATAGGCTACATAGCTACGTGATTGTGCTAGATATATAGTGGTAAGTGCCATGTAGAATGTAACTGAAGTGCATTGGGAAAGTCGATGACATAAATATCACTTTAAAAAGTGCATAGATCAGGCAAGTGTTTCTGGGGAAGGTGGCATAGGAACTGGGTCTTCAAGGCTTAACCATGTGACACTGGAAGGACACTCTATTTAGAGAAAACAGCATACGGAAGGTGGAGATGTAGGAAATCACAGCATTTGCAATCTGATGACATGAGTCAAAATAAGGGAAATCGGGGCAGATGGTGACCATGGCCATGGCCCCCCACCAAGGCACTTGCTTAGATTGAGCTACCGCCCCCTGCAAGGCAAGACTTTGGGATCTACAGGGGCACAGCTGTAATGACGGTGGGAGGGGGTTTTTGAGTCCTACGAGGGGTCACAAATAGATTCAGAGAGAATTGAAGGAGGAGGGCATGACTGTATGATCCTTGAGATGCTTTGGGTTACTGAGGGGGGAGGTAGGTGTGGTGGTTGAGAGCAGAGCCTCTGGAGTCAGACTACCTGGGTTAAAATCCTGCCTGTGACATGTGCTTTATATGACTCATGTTCTTTCTGTACATCTTATGAGATGAATGCCTCAGTATTAATTATAGATAATTTGGAAAGTAGAGAAGAGTAGAAGGAAGAAAACAAAAACCACCTGTATTACCACTCAAACTACTACTAAGTGCTTGGTATTTCCTTCTAGTCTTGGGGTGTGTGTGTGTGTGTGTGTGTGTGTGTGTGTGTGTGCTTTTGTTAATATAAAATCATATTGTATAATTCTGCATCCTACTTTGATCATATAACCTTATAAGAATTTCCTTTAAAATGTGTTTTTGAAGTATTTTTATCGTCTTCATCAATATATACTGATGATACATAAAGAAATAAGCATTTTCTGTATTTTCTTTTCATCTTGCCACTTCTGTTTTGATAACTCTTTTCCTGCAGACAAATAGCCTTTTTCTGTCTTTCCAACATATAAACTTTTGTTTTCTATTCCTTCACATTAATTTGCTAGTGATTCTAGGACAGGTATAAAAAATAGATGTAATGGAGAGAATCCCTGTCTTGGGCCTGACTTTCGTAAGATAATTTGTTTTTCTCCATTTGGGAGTATATTGTAGTATCCTTCTATTCCTAGATAACTACAACTGGGTGAGTTTTTTTTTTTTTTTTTTTAAGAATGGATTGTGACCTATAAAATGTATGTTTTAAGTAATTGATTTGATGTATTATATAAATACATTGATGTATTAAATTATCCCTAATTTCTCACAAGAGCTATAAGTTAATAAAATTAATAAGGGTGGGTGGGTTATTTTTTTAAAATATTCTAATTATTAAAATTCTCTGTAGTTAGCTATATTAGCATTTCATTTTTATACTCATAACTAATGTTCTCTAGTGATATTTTTTCTTTGTAAAATTTTTAGATTTTAGCATTTAGATTTTAGATTTAATTTTTAGATTTTAGATTTTTTATGCTGACTTCATAAAAAGTATTGGGATTCTTATAACTTTCTCATGCTATAGGAAATTTTATATAGCACGAGAATATTCTAGTCATTAAAATTTAAACAAAGCTTTTCTCAACAGCTTTATCAGCAAAGAGATTCTTACTAGTAAAATTATTCATTTCATTTTTAATTGACAAATAATTTTATACATTCATGGAGTATAGTGAGATGTTTTGATATGTGCACATGCTCATTCATCAGTGAGTATCATTGATATAAAACCAGGTTCCCAATGAAGACTGAANGGAGTACAATGTGATTTCTAAATATATGTTTCCACTGTGGAATGATTAAATCAAGCTAACTAACAAATCTATCACTATCACATACTTTTTTGTGGGAAAATATTTAAAATATATTATTTTAGCAATTTTGTTCGATGGCAACATTCTTTTATGGAGTGAATTTTATCTGTTTTTCTTGTTTATTTATCTCTTTTTCCTTGTAGAATCCATGTTTATATGCTATGCAGGTTTGTTTGAATCCTTAAATGAAGTGAGTTTCTGCCAAACTAGATATTCACAATACGCTGTACCTTGCAAGGCTAAGACATGTTTCAGACGAGCAGGAACCTATGTTGTGATTCAGAATTGGAGGTCAATTATTTTAGCTTTTACTGGTCTGTAATGAATACAGACAGGTAACTAGAACTGTTAGAAAAAACTGTATTTTTTTCTAATTTTTGCCTCCAGTCTTATGCTTTATCTATACCCTGTGAACTTAAGTCTTCTTTTTTGCCTTTTCTCTGCCTCTTGAGTCCAGTCAGGATCACAGAAGATTGCAGCGCCGTGCTTTGCACCACACACCCATTACTGCAAACAGGGGCTTTTTGTTTTTTATTGATTACCTTCCCTAACTCACCCTTTGCTTTTAAGAGAAGTGTACTCATTTAACTCTCCTACAGCCATGGAGTTCCTCTCTCTGCTTCCTGTCACTTTCCTATTTGATCTTTACTGTTCTTGAAACCATCCAATCTAGTTTACGGATCGGGGTTGTGGATATTTACTAATTTCTTTGAAGATAGAATCTGTGTGTTTATTTTCCTGCTTGCTTTGGAAAGAGATGAATTCTTAGAAGAGAAAGTTTTGGCTGTACTCGGCCATGTTCAAAGCAGAAGTACGCTTCACTTATTTTTCCCAAGGGTTTTGTCTTTCATAATCTTTACAAACAGGTTCTTGCAGCTGGGGGGTGGGTTCAGGTAGGGAAGTCCAGAGTGGTCATGTCACCTGTTCTTACACCTGCAGATAAAGTAAACTTATTCAGGTAGACGTAGTGAAAGAGTAAATAAGTGTAGTGTGGCCTAAGGAGCAGAACCCTCCTTGCTTGTGCAAAGGGAACACAGCAGAGGGCTGGGCAAGTAGAGGAGGTCTGTTTCTTTTTTCTGAATGAATCAATTAATTGAAAGGATGGATTCTTTTCCTCCTTGGATGTTTCTTTGCAGGAACTCATGCAGCCAGAATCTGGGGCCAATGGAACGGCCATTGCTGAGTTCATCCTGCTGGGCTTGGCGGAGGCACCAGGGCTGCAACCAGTTGTCTTTCTGCTCTTCCTCTTTGCCTACCTGGTCACGGTCGGGGGCAACCTCAGCATCCTGGCAGCCATCTTGGTGGAGCCCAAACTCCACACCCCCATGTACTTCTTCCTGGGGAACCTGTCAGTGCTGGATGTTGGGTGCATCAGCGTCACTGTTCCCTCTGTATTGAGTCGTCTCTTGTCCCACAAGCGTGCAGTTCCCTACGGAGCCTGCCTTGCCCAGCTCTTCTTCTTCCATCTGTTCGTTGGAGTGGACTGCTTCCTGCTGACCGCCATGGCCTATGACCGATTCCTGGCCATCTGCCGGCCCCTCACCTACAGCACCCGCATGAGTCAGACAATCCAGAGGATGTTGGTGGCTGTGTCCTGGGTTTGTGCTTTCAGCAATGCACTGACCCACACTGTGGCCATGTCCACGCTCAACTTCTGTGGCCCCAATGTGATCCATCACTTCTACTGTGACCTCCCGCAGCTCTTCCAGCTCTCCTGCTCCAGCACCCAACTCAATGAGCTGCTGCTTTTTGCTGTGGGTTTTCTAATGGCGGGTACCCCCATGGCTCTCATTGCCATCTCCTATATCCATGTGGCAGCTGCGGTCCTGCGAATTCGCTCTGCAGAGGGCAGGAAAAAAGCCTTCTCCACGTGCGGCTCCCACCTCACTGTGGTTGCCATATTCTATGGTTCAGGTATCTTTAACTACATGCGACTAGGTTCATCCAAGCTTTCAGACAAGGACAAAGCTGTTGGGATTTTCAACACTGTCATCAACCCCATGCTGAACCCAGTCATCTACAGCCTCAGAAACCCTGATGTGCAGAGTGCCCTCTGGAGGATGCTCGTGGGGAGGCGGGCACTGGCTTGAGGAGGGCACTGGCTTGACTCTTTCTGCCTGTGTCTTTTTGTGCTAAAGGAAAAATCTTCTAGAGCCAGAAACCAGGAAAAACATGGTTCAGACCTGTTTCTATCTCCCTGGGCATAAGAAGGACTTTTTGTAGGGAACAATAGCTGTCATTTCTTAAAGCAGCCCTGCCCAGTTATAGGCAGTGGGTGTAGAGGTTCTGCCAAGCCAGCCCCTTAGACAAATTACAACTTCAGGAACTGTGTTCTCCCCTTTCTGGCTAGAGGGGAAACCTGGGAAGCTGTGAATGCTTACAGGCTCCAAGAGGGAATGACTCGCTGGTTGGATACAGCTTGGTTTCCCAGAAGCACCCCAGAAAACTTCTCCCACCCCAAAGTCATCTTTTTCCCCCAAGTTCAGGTATGCTTGGTCTGTGTATACATCATAGGTCTAGAGATTAGGATTCTTTTATTTCTCCCATCAGAACACTATAAGCAAAAATGAAACAAACAGAAACAAAAAAAAAAGTAGCTCTTTCTATTCCCATTAAACAAAGATCCCATAGCATCTCCAGGGGACCGAGGGGAAGCTGTATGATGATGTGTCCTCTAGTAATTCTGGTGCACACGAGAGCTGTGTGCAGCTCACAGACTTGCTTCTAAGTGTTCAAACTCCATTAATATATATTATATACCTTATGATACAAAAAGGAATTTTCCTCATCTTTTTTCCACGTGTTTCAAATTTTTTGAAAAGATATGAATTTATAGTCTAAGCATTATTTACATATTTCAAAATCTCCAAGACTACTCAATGCGAAATTTCCCAAACCTCTCACTCTTAGTCTCCAGGCCGCCTAGCTGAGATAATCCATAAGTGTAAATGCAAGTCACATGGTGGGGACTCGCCCGACATTTCCCTTCTCACGAGGGGAGCGTGGCTCCGACCCAGAGCATTCTCTCCACTTGCTTGCTGTTAGACCGGCCATTATTTCGCTGTATCTTCTTTTCAGCCTCCCTTTTAGGACACATTCCCCACTCCTGGCACCTCTGCTGGGCCACTGTTGTTTCCCAACTCATTTCCAAACACTTTCCTTGCACCTGTGACTTGGCTTCTCCATGATATTTTATGCGGGTCAGGGATTGAACAGATGGGGTAACATAGAGATAAAGAGAAAAGACACCGAAGAGGGAAGCAAAGCAAGATTGGAGGAGGAGAGTGGGTGGGAAATGAAGAGGAGAGATGAGGAATGTGGACAGCTGGGATAGAACGGCAAGTGGAGGGGCAGAAGGCGAAGCATGGCAGTATTAGAGAGGACCAAATGGGGCACGCAGAACGGGAAATGGGAAGGAATGGAGGAACTGGGTAAGATGCCTTGGGACTATTAAAAGATCAGAGGAAGAGAGTGGGGGATGAAATTAGTGGGTCAGACCTGAGAGGTGTGGGCTTCCCAGTCTACGCTGTCCAGGAATAACTGATTCCAGTGGCCCTGACGCCATCATCGTAGTCTGTCGTTTCCACGAAGAAGGAAGTGATTGATGTTTTAAGTTATGCTGAAGGTACGAAAAGTTAGTACAGAGAGGACTCGCTTTCTCTTTCTCTAAACAGAGGTGCCCCTAGAATGTCAGGAAGAAGGTTGGCTAGGTTAGAACACAGAAGAGAAGAATGCTGGGTATTTTCTCCAGCTACGTATCTAAAATGTCATCAAAATTTGTGGGGAACTGCCGAACTGACACACCCTGCTTTTGAGTCATGCTGGCTGACAGTGTCACAGACATCGGGAAAAGAGGTCTTTTTCTGTGTCTTACTGTGTCATCAGACAAACTTCAGGACACGAAGAGGGAGTGTCCTTCAAGGGTCAAGAAGACTGCTGGGGAGACCTGTGAGTGGCTCTCCTCTCATGTCTCTCACTCACAATGCTCTTCACCTTGAGTCAGCCGATGACTTCCTCTGGGCCTGTTCTTGACCAAAAGCACCAGGTAATATTAAGGTTCTTCCACGGCGAATGTTCTCTGAGCCTGTTAGTTTGAATGGATGGAAGGACTGTGTCTGTTTACCCTGAGAGAGCTACCACCTCTTCCACCGTCACTTCCTCTGCTGCATTTAACACCTGCAGCCAAGCGGAGCCTGCTGTTCGTCTCCAAAGGCCCCGGCGCCTCATGTCTTCCCGCTGCTATTGACTTCAAG